AAAAAAAAATAAATAAAAACCAGGAAGAGAAGTAGCTGACTACAGTAGCGTGCCAAGCTACTAATTCTGCGGGACGAGGTAGCATGCCAAGCTGCCACCACATCCTGCGGGACGAGAATATTGATATCATATCCCCCTGCAGCTGCCTGGAGCCAGTGGAGGGACCTCTACAGGGGGAAGAAGTAACCACTCTATGAACATTCTACAAGGGTTCTATTTAACACCCTCATTTATCTTACAAGGGTTATATTTAACACCCTCCATTTATTTTATCTGGGTTCTATTTCACACCCTCATTTATTTTACAAGGATTATATTTTATACTCACTACTCATTTTTATTATTACTCATTTACCTGTTTAGTATTAGATATATGTTTGCGCTCATTGCATTTCTACAAACTTAATGTACATTCTGATCACTCATTTGTCCTGGCCGGAAGAAGATTCTGAGGGTAATATAATTCAACGAGAATCCTTTCCAATAGTCTGGTATCCAAGTAAACTAAACCGGTTGGCATACGGGGACAGCAGGTTGGGGTTGTGGAACGACAGATACTTTCGCGATTTCACTGACCTAGAAGATTTGGTAACAATAGCAATTTTAGCATATAGTGCGTTCTCTGGCACTGATTACAGCAGCTATAACCCTTACAATTTCTTAAATTAACTCCTGAATAAGCCTAATTATGTCCTGGCCATTCCCTCCCTTCCTCACGTGCAGGCAGCGTCTCCTGATCCTACTTCTCACTGTTATCCTGCTATGTATCCCATTGGCTATTTTGTTCCTCTGCAATGATCTCCCCTTACCACTCTTGCCACCCTCATCCCCTAAGCCTACCCCGCTAACACCAACGGCCCATCCTCCACCACCTGTTGACCGGCACAAGCGATCCCTACCTCTTCCATCCCCCTCACCTCCTTGTAACTCTGATTTTCTCTATTTAACCCAAGCAATCACTCTGTGTATCCCATTATCCACAGCCACCACGGTTACACTCCCCTACGACATTTTGCCCTCGAACCCTGCACATGGTCATTACACGCCATCTGATCTGAAAGAGCATGTTTGGTACTTAACGTGGGGATCTTACTCTAAATGGAAGTGGAGCAGTCTTGTTGCTGAAACAGGCGATGATTGGTCATCCTACTCCAAAGGAGTAGCTACAACTTGGCGTACCAGAATCAAATTGATAAAACAAGGCGGATCTAAAACAGGCCCTTTGACTTTCATAATTAGTCCAATAAACTCCCTTGGATGTACCCTATTTGTACTTGCTCCTTGGATTAGTGGGAGCTACTACTGGACAGTGCACCTCTGTGTCCGTAATATTACTTCACCTACCTCTACCGTCTTTGATATTGTCGGGCTAAGTAAATCTCCCCCCTCTCCTGTGGTACTTGACATTGCTGAAGTGAATAAACCCTCTCCAGCGATAACTATTGAGACTAAAAACCCTTCGGTTGATGAGACATTTCAGACGGTTACCGGCATTTCCGCTAGCACTAATAATTGGTTACTCCTGGCTGAACAAGCAGCTAATGCTTCTGATCAGGATTGTCTTGTTTGCCTTTCAGCTCGTCCTACTCTCCGTATTGTACCACCTCCGATTCCTCCAGAATGTTTCCTTCATTTGATGAACGGAACTTCCCTAAATTCCAATTGTACCAAGTTTGGACAAATCTTTCCAAAGCAAAAACCAGGCGATGACATTGGTACGCCCTTCTTTTCCAACATTGTGGCCCCTAATAACTTCAGTTGTATTCATCTAATTGGACGAGGCGGTCCTTTTCTAGGGAATGTCACCACAAATTGGTGCGTTAATACAACCGTGTCAGTTTCTTCACAATTCAAACCCAAAAAGCGTGCCAATCTATGGTGGTGGTGTGGTGCACCTCAGCTCTATAATGGTTTTCCCAGGAAATCTTCAGGTTTGTGTGCCCTTATTACTTTACTGTTACCTGTCACTGTTACTCCTGTAACCCTTCATGATGCCCCTATTTCCAGCTCTTACTCTAGCACCCGACGAAAGCGATCTTTACCAGCTTTACCTGCATTTCACAATCCCACTTATATAGATGCAATTGGCATTCCCAGAGGCGTTCCAGACGAATACAAATTAGTTGACCAAATAGCCGCCGGATGGGAATCTATTTTTGTCTGGATAACTCCCAATAAAAATGTCGACCGCATTAACTACATCCATTTCAATGTTCAACTCTTAAGTAATTACACTCGTACTGCTCTTGAGGCAGTTCACCAACAACTATCGGCTACTTCCTTGATGGCTTTCCAAAACAGAATTGCTGTAGACATGCTGTTAGCTGAAAAAGGGGGCGTGTGTGCCATGTTTTCTCACGATTGCTGTGTTTTTATCCCCAACAATACGGCCTCGGACGGTAGCTTAACTAAGGCCTTAGACGGCCTCCGCTCTTTGACAGAAAAAATGAAATCCCACTCTGGTGTAGACACCTCCATGTGGGACTCTTGGCTTGATGTATTTGGTAAATACAAATCTCTCGTTTCCTCCGTCCTGGTGTCCATGTCTGTCTTCGCTGCCATTCTTGTTACTTGCGGCTGTTGCTGTATCCCCTGTCTTAGGCACTTAGTCCAGAGATTGATTACCATTGCCATCTCTCCTCCACCTGCTGACCCAATTATCCAGATGCCCTTGTTACTAGCCAATCCTAACATCTATTTGGGAGGGGAACCCTCTGATGATAGTGATGACTCTCATGATGAAGAAGATGTTGTTAGAGTGTGAGAATGTTCAGTGATTTATGTAACAATCCCTTCACCAGTTCATTTCTATGAGTTTTTTGATTGTTTTGTTGTTTTTATTTTTTGATCTTTGATGTCCTAGGCATGCCCACTCTGTGCCAAGAGGCGTTCGCCCCAAAATGGGGGGACATGGGGGAATTTTCCCTATTAACGTACGACAATTAGGGTTTTTCGCCCTCATACGGGTGTGCATGCGCTCCATACATGTTGTAACATGTTCAGTTGAAAGTATGATCATGTTTTTTGTATCAGTTTACTGCTAGAAATATGAGTAAATGTAATCTGATTGGTTGTTTGTATTGGTCTTTTAAAACTCTGCTTATTATATTCTTTTTGATGAAATTTGGTGTTGTTGTTGTTTTGATTTCCTACATCTTTGTTGAACTCTTAAAAGAGTTCAAAAGGGGGATTGAAAATATACGTATCTACCTTATAAGCTTCACGTATCCACCTTATAAGCTTCTTTTATATATTTACCTTATAAAGCTCAGTTGTATTACTCTATGATATGTACACTTGCTTAGATGGTCAAGGCCTCTACACAAAGATTTACAGCAGCATGTTCTGTTCTGCAACCTTGTAGGGAGCGAGCATATTCCAGCTCCTCTCTGTACCAGTGAATGTATCTTCTCCTGTCATGAATGTATCAGGATGCTCCTAGTAATCTCAAGGATGCATGTTCTAGTGATGTATTAAACTGTCTGCTAACAAGGCTGTTATTCTTTACCTGTCATAATCATTGACGTATGTACATGGCAAACTACGTATGTAACATTCCTGTAATCTTCAATAAAAATCAGCCGTTTCCAGCAGAACGGCGGAGAGTCTGTCCAAAGCAACTGGCAAGAGCAGGTCGCGGGACCTGCTGCAAAAGGGCTCTCCCCCTCTCGAGCGGTGAAACAGTGACATGGATTCCTCTGATCATTTGTCTCCTCATTCTATCAACTCAAAAGGTGTTTAACTCCATCTTCTCCGTACCCGTGCTTGGTCTAACAGAAGAAAGACCAACACCCTCTTGCAGGAGACTCACCTCACTGACAAGTAGCATAAGAAGCCCAAGAGAAAGTGGGTGGGGCAAGTATATTATTCATCATTTTCATCAAGTAAAAGGGGGGTAGCAATATTAATAAATAGGAACATGCCATTCAACCTTGTCAAGTGTATTAAGGATGAGCAGGGTAGATATGTTCTGATTACAGGATTTTAATTTGGAAAATGTATTTCAATTGGGTGTATCTATGCTCCAAATGTTTACTCAGGTGATTTTTATTCTGGACTCTTAACCGAGGTCTCCACATGGACAACTATTTTTAACATCCTGGTGGGTGACTTCAATTGTGCCGTGGATCCCGAGGCAGACCAGAACCCTCCCTGCAAAACTACCCCTTCTAGAATGAGGCAGGCCACGAAAGAATTATGTTCTGATGTAATGTTATATGACGTATGGAGAACTCTACATCCGAGAGAACGAGACTACACGTTCTATTCAAACCCACATCAGAGTTTTTCACGTATTGATTTTTTTTTCTTCAAGAAATGCCCTAGATAGAGTACTGTCTTGTGACATTGGGAACCGATTACAATCAGATCATGCAGATATTTGCATGGCTATTTCGCCACCTTGCATGCAGCCCATGTCCAAAAATTGGTGCTTAAATCCTTCTCTATTAAATAATCCCTCTTTTGTGTCCTATATTAAAGACCAAATTGACCTTTTTATGTCAACTAATGATAATAGCTACACCAACCCATCAACACTCTGGGAGACTTTAAAGGCTTTCCTTCGGGGAGCCATTATTTCTTACTCTACTGCTAGGAAAAAAGAGTCTTTGGCACGCCAACTTGATCTTGAGAAGGAACTGGCCTACCTCCACAACCTACTGAAAACCCATTTCTCTACTACTTTACTCAAGAAAACTGAAGCTACGCGCTCAGCACTAAATCAGCTGTTGACACAAAAAGCAGAGGCAAGTATATTTTATGCTAGGCATAGATTGTATGAACTGTAGAGGTGGGAAAAATGATCGATTCTAAGATGCATCACGATTCGGCTGTGCACGATTCTGCATCGATGCAGCGACGTGACATAATGAGATTTTCTCCGTGTCTATGTTCCGGACGCGCGAGGACAATAAAGTTTTGAGGTTTTACAACTACTTCCGGAGCAGAGTTGCAGTGACATGTGCACTGCGTTGCCCTAGCGCCAATTTAAAACAGAAATGGCGGACAGAGATACAGAGCGAACATTGCCAGTGATCAAAGATGCACCCGCTACATTTAGATCGGATGTCTGGACTAATTTCGGCTTTTATGAGCTAGACGGAAAGCTCGACAAGACGCACACTGTGTGTAAGGTGTGCCACACGAAACTAAAGTACTTTGGGAATACAACTAATATGTCCAAACATTTTGAACGTTTCCACCCTGCGAGGACTTCTTCAGCAATAGCCACAAAAACAGCGAGCACATCCCAGCCAACTATTAAAGAAGCGCTGACAACTTTACCGTCTGCTTCGGAGAGAGGGAAGAAGATCACCCGTTCTGTTGCATGCTTTATTTCTAAAGATTTACGACCATATTCTGTGGTAGAGAATGCCGGGTTTCGCTACCTTTTGAAGACGCTCGAGCCTTGGCATAACCTACCAACAAGAAGACACTTCACAGAAACTGTTGTGCCTGCATTGTACAACGAGACCAAAGCCCAGGTAATGGAATCAATGAGTAAAGCAAGCCGCGTAGCCATTACATGTGATTCATGGATGTCAACTGCAAAGGAGTCGTACGTAACAATAACGGCACATTATATAAGCAGTGATTGGCAGCTTGTATCACATGTGCTGCAGACAAGAGCTCTGTATGAGAGTCACACGGGTGCTAATCTGGCGGAGTTACTGTCTGAAGTTGTGGATGAATGGCATCTAGCAGACAAAGACATTGTGCTGGTAACAGACAACGCGTCTAACATGATACGTGCAGCTGAAGTTGGGAAGTTCCCTCAAGTAAAATGCTTTACGCATACACTGAATCTCGCTGCACAGCGTGCACTTAAACTGCAGACTGTTTCCAGACTTCTGGGCAGAATCTGCCGCGTGTCAACATTCTTTCATCACAGCACTATTGCAAACCACCAGTTGCAATCCAACCAGAAACATATAGGCCTGCCAACCCATAAACTGAAAACTGATGTGGCAACAAGGTGGAATAGCGCACATGATATGATGGAGAGGTACTTGGAACAGCAACCTGCAATCCATGCTGCCCTGCTGAGACCTCAGGTCACAAAAGATGATGCTGAACATTACACTCTCAACAAAACAGAACTGGAGAACGCAGCGCATGCAGTGAAGGCATTAAGACCAATGAAAGATGTCACTACATTGATGTCAGAGGAGAAGAATCCAACAGTATGTCTGATTTCACCTCTGTATGCGCAGCTCCTTCAGGACATGTCAGACACCACTGGTGACTCACCAGTGATCCGTGAGATTAAGAATGCCATCAAAACAGATCTCCTAAAGAGATACAACTCTGAGGAAGAGAAGAAGTTGCTTTATACAGCCTCTGCTCTGTATACACGTTTTAAGGGACTGCCTTTCCTCACAGCAGATGAGAGATTGAGAAGTGTCGTGACAGAGGCTGCAGCATTGGAGGTAATTTAATTTCACCATGTAAAAATGCACTTGCCATGTAAAATCTTTTCAAGTAAAAGAAAATATTAAAATGTCTTAATTGTAATGTTATGTGAAACTTTTATAAGACAGATTTTTATTTATTTATCTTTTTTTTTTTTTGCTTTTTAATGATATTTTATTGCATTTGTCAATGAAAAATGCTGCATGCTATGCTACCCAGTTCCACTACTTCCAAAATAACATTATTTCCTTTCTTACTGCATAATTGGATAACTCATTAATTCAAGGAGATGATTTAAGTTCAGAAAGGAGTGGAGCTGGGCACAAGCCTTAAGTTTTAATAACTGATATGTGCTAACTGCTGGTTTTTTTGCTGTCTCCTTTTTGTTCACAAGGAAACTGAAGCAGATGAAATGCCTGCTGGAGCCATGAATTCAGGAATCCAGGAAGAAGACATGCTGTGTGTGGAGGACAACATGCACAGGAAGGACAATGTTCCCTCCTGCCAATCTGCTGCCAAAAGGAAGGCCTCATCATCACTACTCGTGACTTTGCTTGGACATACATTCACTGACAATGAGGCTGCAGTGCAAAACAAAACCAGCGATTCCAGGGCTGAGGAGGAAGTGCACAATTACTGCAGAGCTCCATCTTTGCCTCTCACAGAAAATCCCTTGAACTGGTGGCATGGCCACGAGTTCACCTTTCCTCTCCTGTCCAAGCTGTCAAAGAGATACTTGTGTATCCCAGGGACAAGTGTGTCTGCAGAGAGGGTCTTCTCTACTGCAGGAGATGTTGTCACTGCAAAAAGAAGCACTCTCAAACCAGAACATGTCGATCACCTAGTGTTCTTACACAAAAACCTTGAAATACCAAAATGCTGAAAAGTGAGCAGTTATTGTACAGTCAGGTCAAAAGAAACAATTGTCAGACTGATTATAGGTGTAGGCTAGGCCTATGCAATTTACCGTATTTTGGGTTTACATTGTTCATTAAGATTTATGTTTAAATCTGTGTTAGAAGTGATATGATGTGATTCTAAAAAAATGAATCTCAGGTTCTCAAGTTTCCTTGTCTTCAAGCTGCTAGACATGTTTTACCCAGCACACTTTGAATGTAGATAAAGGAATTGTGATGCATTTCAGACTCAAATCGAATCGTGAGGCAGATGATCGGAATCGGATCTAATCGTGAGGCAGGTAGAGATGCACACCACTAATTAATTGGGTGTTAAATCAGGGCGATTGTTAGCTCGTATAGCTGCTGGTAAAAGGGAGCCCCAAGCTATCTCATGCCTTGAAGATAAAAAGGGTCAAAGTCATTACGAGAGTAAAAAGCTTGTGAATATTATGGCTGATTACTATAAACAGCTTTACGCCTCAGATGTCTCGGCACCACAAGAAGCTCATACAGTCTATGCCTAGCATAAAATATACTTGCCTCTGCTTTTTGTGTCAACAGCTGATTTAGTGCTGAGCGCGTAGCTTCAGTTTTCTTGAGTAAAGTAGTAGAGAAGCTTTCTTGTTGCCATCATTATCAGGAGAAGAACAGACAGCTTTGGGAAAAGAAATAACAAAAGAAGAGGTTGAATATGCAATTAAAGCCATCCAGGTGGAAAAGCTAGTGGGCCTGATGGATACGGTCCAGAATTCTTTAAAATTTTTCAAGAGGACTTGGCAGGTCCCCTTTCAAATATGTATAGACACTCAACTGAAATCGGCTCTCTCCCTTGCTCCCTATATTCGGCAAACATCTCCTTAATACATAAAAAAGATAAGCCACCTGATAAATGTAGCTATCGCCCGATCAGCTTAATTAATGTGGACAGCAAGATTTTTTCTAAAATTTTAGCGAAGACACTGGAACAACACTTACCATTTTTGATCATGGAGGACCAGACTGGTTTTATCAGGAACAGACTGTCCTTTACTAACATGAGGAGGCTGCTGAAAATAATTCAGCATTCCAGTTTAACCAAAACCCAAGGCCTCATCATCTCCCTTGACGCTGAGAAGGCCTTCGATTGAGTAGAGTGGCCGTTCTTGTTCTCAGTATTGCGAAAGTTCCAGCTCGGAGAAAGTTTTATTAATTTGACCAAATTACTGTATCATGCTCCAAGGGCAAGCGTGCTTGTAAATGGTATTAAGTCACAAGAATTTTGCTTGGGTAGATCGACTCGTCACGGTGCTCCGTTATCCCCTCTTGTGTTTGCTCTGGTGATCGAGCCATTGGCGGAGGCCATTAGAGCTCACAATAATATAACAGGATATAAAATAGGAACTATTGAATACAAAATAGTCTTGTATGCAGATGATGTGCTGCTGTTTGTTAAAAATACTGATAAATCAATACCAGCCATTATGTCGGTCATCGAGATTTTTGGTTCCCTTTCTGGGTATAAGGTCAACTTCGGAAAATCTATTGCTATGCTGGTGGGTGACTGGAGGTGTTGGTCCTGAAAGACCAAGACAGGTTCGGAGCGATTGGAGAAAAAGATGTCTGCTTCTGAGTTGATGTTGGAGTCAAAAAACCAGTCAAAATAAGATTCACCGCTGCAGAGGGAGAACACGCAGCTCTCATGCAAGGACTCCCGTCTTGCTTCAGCAGCTGCCATAAGTGTTCTGATTTCTCAGTTTGAGACGGCTAGATTTATTCACTCAAGCAGGGAGGGGTCACATGTGTGTACAACGTTAAGTTTGAACAATCCTCTAAACAGCAGACTTGCAGCCTTGAGATATGGTTAAACAGGATGCGGCTACTATCTCAACAGAAAACAGGAACCTATTCACGCTGTGTGCAGAAAAACACCCGAGAGGAGGGGTGAGCAGCAGATAACAGGAACATCTGGAGTGTCTAATGTACTGCAGAGTCAGATTCTCATCACACACATAACCAATGAGTATATGTTCTCTTGTGTTCATTTAGCAGTAACTATTAGGGATGAGCCGGATACTCGTTTCAGCCAATTATCCGGTACGGATAAAGCATTTTTGACGAGTACGAGCATGAAACGAGTAAAACTGGTAAATATCTGTAATCGTGCTGAAGGGAAATCCTCATTGGGTAACTGACTGTCTTCACGCTCGGTGATTGGCCAGTAAAATAGAGAGCCTCCTTACACACAAAACTGCAGCCGGTAGCTCTGCTCAGTCATTGTCCGGTCCATCCACGCACACACACACACACAGACAGAAACAGATCTCTCTGTGCTTGCTTCACTGTTCACGTTTCTTCAGTACTCCCTATGTTTTCTTCAGTTTGCTTCTTTTTAAAGTTACTTTAAAGATATTTAAAGTTACTTTTTTCATAACGTACGTGGTGCACTTGACAAGACAGAGCTGAAAACAGCTCGTGCTGTGTCAGTCACTGCTTCCGCTCCGGTCGTTTTTTTTTACCCCTCTCTCTCTCCTCTTCCTCAGGAGGATCCACTCCCTCTTTCCTATTCACTCTCTCTCTTTCTTTGCATTTTTTAATCAGAATTGTCTATTTTTTGCTCATTTTAAATACATTTTAATCATTTTCTAAATTCTTTTTTCTATTTTACATGTTTTGTTTTTGTGAAGCGCCTCGTGATTTTTATCTTGAGAGGCGCTATAGAAAAGATATTTTCTTCTTTCTCTCTCTTAATTAATGCACTTAAATATTAATATTCTGATTTTATTGAAAAACTTGTTCTGTAATAGTTCCTTTACTATTGTGATCAAAAACATTTAATCTCAACTCTGAGGCTGCTCTGTAAATAGTTTTCAAATAAACAATACACATAGCAACTTCTGATCAGACTTAAAATAACGTATTGATGTAAACCACACCCACGTCCGGTTAAACTACACCCACTTCCGGATTAGGCCACGCCCTCTCCGAGTACAGATACAGATACAGATAATTTAGATGGTACAACAGATACAGATACAGTTACAGATAGTGGTGTACTCGCTCATCCCTAGTAACTATTATTAACATTTCCCCTTTTGAACTCTAATAAGAGTTCAACAATGATATAAAAAGTAAAAAACAAACACAATCATCATCCTTAATTCATTACCATATATGGGTGCACTAATATTTGTCTCATGAAACGTACATGGAGCTGGCTCCATAGAGAAAAGATTAAAGATTTTTGATCAGCTAAAGAGAGTGCAAGCAGACGTAATATTGTTACAAGAGACTCATAGATCTGCCACATCCGCAGATGAACTTAAAACACCTGAGTTTCCCAGCATGTTCTCTGCCTGCTATAACTCTAGGCAAAGAGGTGTAGCTATTTTAATACACAAAAACATAAATTTCACAGTATTGGACACAGTTTCTGATTCAGAAGGTAGATTTATAATGTTAAAAATATCTGTACAGAACCAAAGCTTATGTATTGTCTGCATATACTGTCCAAATATTGATGACCCTCCATTCTTTCATAATTTTTTTCTCTGTACTCTCCGAACACTTGGACTGTCCACTTATACTTGGAGGTGATTTTAATTTTTGGATGAATTCCTTAACAGACAGGCTCAGTACAAATGGGACTCAGCGCAATTGGCAATTCACTAATATAGTTAAACAGTACATGAGTGATTATGGGCTTTGTGATGCATGGCGATCTCTTCATCCTAACCGTAGAGAGTATACTTTTTTGTCACACGTCCATCACTCTCATTCACGTTTGGATTATTTTCTAGTCAGCAGCTCATTGTTGGCTGACATTTCAGACACTGAGATACACCCAATAGTTGTCAGCGACCATGCTCCGGTTTCATTAACTCTGGTAAATAAGAAGACAATCCCAGTGAGCAAAAACTGGAGGTTTAATACATCACTGCTTAAAGATGAAGGTCTTATAGATTATTTTAAAAAGGAGTGGGCTTTATATTTAGAACATAATGACCTGCCTGGAACATCAGCATCTATTCTCTGGGAGGCAGGAAAGGCAGTGATGAGATGTAAAATAATCTCTTTCTCATCACATAAGAAACAAACGGAAAACAAATATATTCAGGAGTTAGAAGAAATCATTAAGTCTTTAGAGGCATCCACAGAAGAAGAGTTAATGAGCAAATTACGTAAAGCTAAATTAGAACTTCATGGAATTATTGACAAAAAGACACAATTTTTGGCACAAAGACTACGAATAGAAAACTTTGAACATAGTAATAAATCAGGTAAATTTTTGGCTAGCCAGTTAAAAATAAATAAAGAGAAAACTACCATATCTGCTGTTAAAGACTCAACCGGGAATATAGTTTATGACCCTGAAAGCATAAACAACACTTTCAGAGACTTTTACCAAACTTTGTACTCACCACAGATAAACCCATCAGATAATGAGATCGATGAGTTCCTTGGCAGGATAACACTTCCTAAATTATCAGACAGCCAAGTTACAGTCCTGGACTCGCCACTAACCTCAGCGGAGCTCCGGGAGGCCCTTAAATCCATGACGAATAGGAAAGCTCCAGGTCCAGACGGGTTCCCAGTAGAGTTCTACAAAGAATTCTGGATCATTCTGGCTCCAATATTTTTCAGAATGGTGAGGGAAATCGAAGAGAGCGGCAGATTACAGCCAAACATGAACTCAGCCATTATTAGTCTCTTGTTAAAACCAGGCAAAGACCCTGCATTTCCTACCAGCTATTGCCCAATTTCCCTTATTAATGTTGATCTCAAAATAATTTGTAAAGCCCTGGCAAAAAGATTAGAGAAGGTAACCCCCTTCATAATACACCCTGACCAAACTGGTTTCATCAAGGGTAGACAGTCATCCACAAACTCACGTAGATTACTTAATTTGATAGATTTCTCTTACAGTAGAAATATAGAAACTAGTATATTATCTCTAGATGCAGAAAAGGCTTTTGATAGAGTTAACTGGAAGTTCTTATTTGCAACTTTACATAAATTTGGCTTTGGGAACTTCTTCATAAACTGGCTACAAACATTATACATTTCGCCAACTGCACATGTCAGGACGAACGACCAAATATCAGCTAGCTTCTGTCTTCAGAGGGGGACCAGGCAGGGATGCCCACTCTCCCCCTCACTGTTCGCTATCTTTATCGAACCACTAGCGGCAGCAATTAGGCAAACAACATGTATTAAAGGGATAAAGTGTGAGAAAATAGAACATAAGATAAGTCTTTATGCAGATGATGTTTTACTCTTTCTCCGGAATTCTCAATCGTCTCTCTCTCATTCAATAGAACTGATAAACTCTTTTTCAAAAGTTTCAGATTACTCTATAAACTGGTTAAAATCCACAGTTCTACCCATTAATTTCTCTTTTGTCAATTTACTTAATACACAATTGGAGTCAGGGAATATCACATACCTGGGAATTAATGTCTCTCCCAAGTTAGCAGATCTTACCAAACTAAACTACATCCCACTTTTAAAGAAAGTGGAAGATGATCTTGCAAGATGGAAATCCTTA